TATATATATATATTTTCATAAGCTTCACCAAATCACTTATTCTTAAACAACAATGGAGCTCCATAGCGAAACTTTCTGCGATCTATCTGAACTCTATACGACTAAAGAATCTAATTGCGAATCTAGTAAAAATGAGGGCATCAGTTTTATGGAAGAACTCGAAGAATTCATACAAATACCTTCAAGTTTACTGAACAAGGAGACGAGAAAGAACGTAGAACGAAAACCTGAAATTGACGATGACGATAAAGCACTCTCGGATATTCTTGATTTTGTAGTGGAAATGGAAGAGCTGGCCGAGAAAAGACGTTCACTACGGCAACCAGAACAATTTCAGGTGCAACATAATGCACCCGGTACAGTACAGTACTACAGACCACCCATTCAAGATATGAAAAGGTTGGGATCTGGAAAGAAGAAGACCCATCAGTGTGTGAGTTGTGATCTTTGGTTCACCAGTGAAGGTTTCTTGCAGAGGCATTTGAAATCTACCGTCCATAAGAACAGGTCCTATTGTAGAAGGTCTAAGATGGTCTCCCAAGGTAACACTTATGTAATGGGTTACCAGTTTGCACCATACTAATAATATTTACAATACTATGACTATAAAAATAAAACGTACTATTTATATTTGTTTAAAAAACCTGGATCTTTTGTAATATCCTAAAATAATATACAAAAAATATTAAAATACCTACTCTATTGACTGATGACATCAAGTTGACCAACGAATCACCCACATTTATATAATATATACTGTAATGATTTTTTTCAAACACGTTGATTTTGTTTGCGAGACATTTTTTGGCTATATTGGCCTGTTTAACCAAAATTTTCATTTGTACACGGAAAAAACTTAATGTCACTATTTAGTAGGATTTCTACTAATTTTTATTGTTACTTATTACGAAGTAAAAAGTTAAAATATATATTAGCGGTTCACTAAAACATATTATATTTAAAAATAAATAAAACAGTATTAAAATATAGTTTTTAACCTTTTAAATGATAAAATTCTTCATCTTGGAAAGTATAATTTAAAGAAAGAGTAACCAAAATGTGACAATGACTTAATTAAATATTAACTCTCAACCTTTAAATTTTAATATTTCAAACACTAAATATCTCCAAGTTCGATATATATAATTTCACATAAGGGGCAAAACACCTCAAGTGTTCCCACCTAAAAATGATGTTTTCTCCGATTTTAACAAAACTTTGCCAAATCATTGTCTATTGGACTACCTTAATTTTCCAAATGGGGAATTAAAAAAGCTTTCTTTTGATATTAATTTTAAAAAAATCAGATGTGTCGCATTTCGAGAAAAAAACAAATATATTTTTAAAATCGTTTTTTTATAACCAAAAAATTTTTTCTGGCTTTTGAGACCATTTTTATCGTAAAGCGTGGAAAAAATGCTATACGATATGTTGATTATCAATTTAAAAAAAAATTATTATATACATGAATATTTCGACGTCTTTTAAGCGCACGAGAAAAAATATAAATTTTTAGGCCCCTGTATCTCTGCAACCCGCTAATCCTTTTTGCCCATTTGGAAAATTAAGGTAGTCCAATAGGACAATGATTTGGCAAAGTTTTGTTAAAATCGGAGAAAACATCATTTTTAGGTGGGAACACTTGAGGTGTTTTGCCCCATAAGCGACCATATTTTTTTTTTAATTTTAACCATAATAAATATTCAAATCTGAATTTTAATTGTTATTGTTTCAAACAATAAAAATATACAACTCTACCGGTTAAATATTTACTTATATATAATTAACGTTCATTTTTCATTTTTGTTCATTTTTTTAACTTGTCTACCCAATTTTAATGTATTTTTTCAAAAGCACGTTTGTAGAAAAACATAATAAATATTCAAAACATCAGTACCTTGGCGTGTCACAACTCCTGAATCAAATATTTGAGTGATTTTATTTTAAAATATATTCAATTTATCCAAAATTTTTCAATGTGGTATACTCAATTGAAAAAAGAATGAAAATTATTGCGACCTATTATCGAAATAATGATTGTGCAAATGGATAATACACAGTCTATCAGGAAACTATAACAAGCCTTTGGCGTATCCGTCACCAGTGTGCTTCGCATCTTGAAAAATAACAAGTTTCATCCTTTAAAATTCGGCTGGTTCAAGAAATTAATGAAGATGATCCTGATAATCAGGGCCTGATCGCAGATTACAGTTTTGCGAATATTTCAGTATTAATCCTTTTGTACTACAATACATGTTTTTCAGATGAGTGCTCTGTTATGTTAAATGGAGAAGTAAATAGACATAATTATAATTGGCGCTATTGGGGCGGTACCAATCCACATTTGTTCCATGAAACCCACGCCCAAGTTCTCCAAAAGATAAAATTTAATGTTTCGGCCGGAATTTTTGGGAACCATGTTGGAACATTTTTCATTGATGGCAACCTCAATGAAGAAATGTACATCAAAATTCGTCCCCCTAGAAATAAAAATTGACGTGTCCAAGACAAGATTCCTTATGAAAGTATGCTCCTCATTTATTGTAATGAATTATTTATTAATTATTGTATTTTAATGAATTATATTTATTGGTAATTATTTATAAACAATTATTAATGGAAATTATTATGTTATTAACTATTGGTAAAAAGTGTTTAAAAAATTCTTATATAGGAATTACTATTTATAAAAAGTGCATTATTTATTGATCATACTTAACAAAGTTTATTAATTAAATTATTAAAATTTATAATAGTAAATTCTATAATAAATAAAATACACAAAATTATTTTTTAGTATTTAAAAAATGCAGAACTGAACGTTAATTATATATAAGTAAATATTTAACCGGTAGAGTTGTATATTTTTATTGTTTGGAACAATAACAATTAAAATTCAGATTTGAATATTTATTATGGTTAAAATTTAAAAAAAAATATGCTCGCTAATGGGGCAAAACACCTCAAGTGTTCCCACCTAAAAATGATGTTTTTTCCGATTTTAACAAAACTTTGCCAAATCATTGTTCTATTGGACTTCCTTAATTTTCCAAATGGGGAATTAAAAAAGCTTTCTTTTGATATTAATTTTTAAAAAATCAGATGTGTCGCATTTCGAGAAAAAAACAAATATATTTTTAAAATCGTTTTTTTATAACCAAAAAATTTTTTCTGGCTTTCGAGACCATTTTTATCGTAAAGCGTGGAAAAAATGCTATACGATATGTTGATTATCAATTTAAAAAAAAAATATTATATACATGAATATTTCGACGACTTTTAAGCGCACGAGAAAAAATATAAATTTTTAGGCCCCTGTATCTCTGCAACCCGCTAATCCTTTTTGCTCCCCATTTGGAAAATTAAGGTAATCCAATAGGACAATGATTTGGCAAAGTTTTGTTAAAATCGGAGAAAACATCATTTTTAGGTGGGAACACTTGAGGTGTTTTGCCCCATAAGCGAACATATTTTTTTTTTTTAATTTTAACCATAATAAATATTCAAATCTGAATTTTAATTGTTATTGTTTCAAACAATAAAAATATACAACTCTACCGGTTAAATATTTACTTATATATAATTAACGTTCAGTTCTGCATTTTTTAAATACTAAAAAATAATTTTGTGTATTTTATTTATTATAGAATTTACTATTATAAATTTTAATAATTTAATTAATAACCTTTGTTAAGTATGATCAATAAATAATGCACTTTTTATAAATAGTAATTCCTATATAAGAATTTTTTAAACACTTTTTACCAATAGTTAATAACATAATAATTGTTTATAAATAATTACCAATAAATATAATTCATTAAAATACAATAATTAATAAATAATTCATTACAATAAATGAGGAGCATACTTTCATAAGGAATCTTGTCTTGGACACGTCAATTTTTATTTCTAGGGGGACGAATTTTGATGTACATTTCTTCATTGAGGTTGCCATCAATGAAAAATGTTCCAACATGGTTCCCAAAAATTCCGGCGGAAACATTAAATTTTATCTTTTGGAGAACTTGGGCGTGGGTTTCATGGAACAAATGTGGATTGGTACCGCCCCAATAGCGCCAATTATAATTATGTCTATTTACTTCTCCATTTAACATAACAGAGCACTCATCTGAAAAACATGTATTGTAGTACAAAAGGATTAATACTGAAATATTCGCAAAACTGTAATCTGCGATCAGGCCCTGATTATCAGGATCATCTTCATTAATTTCTTGAACCAGCCGAATTTTAAAGGATGAAACTTGTTATTTTTCAAGATGCGAAGCACACTGCGCCAAAGGCTTGTGATAGTTTCCTGATAGACTGTGTATTATCCATTTGCACATGACCCAACACAGCAACTTCTACAGCTTCATTTCTAACTGGGCGGTTTGCCTTCCTTTTTTTGTTGTTAATGGGACCCGTAGTTTGAAACTTAATTACAATTTGTTGAATGTATTGGTAACTTACGTTTTTTTCGGGATGATTATTATTGAAAATTCGTGCCGTGGCGTTTGTACAATCATTATTTCGATAATAGGTCGCAATAATTTTCATTCTTTTTTCAATTGAGTATACCACATTGAAAAATTTTGGATAAATTGAATATATTTTAAAATAAAATCACTCAAATATTTGATTCAGGAGTTGTGACACGCTAAGGTACTGATGTTTTGAATATTTATTATGTTTTTCTACAAACGTGCTTTTGAAAAAATACATTAAAATTGGGTAGACAAGTTAAAAAATATATATATATAATTGTTTATAAGCTATATAAATTCTTTTTAATTTTATTAATAAACGTTTTTGATCTACGCAAACATATTTAGGTAAAAAGATTATAAATAACAACGAATAAAAACATTTTACCTGCCTAAGCAATGTTTTTCCAAATTTATGTAGGTATCAAATTGACAAACTTATATATACCTACAATTGTATATATATATATATATTTTCATAAGCTTCACCAAATCACTTATTCTTAAACAACAATGGAGCTCCATAGCGAAACTTTCTGCGATCTATCTGAACTCTATACGATTAAAGATTCTAATTACGAATCTAGTAAAAATGAGGGCATCAGTTTTATGGAAGAACTCGAAGAATTCATACAAATACCTTCAAGTTTACTGAACAAGGAGACGAGAAAGAACGTAGAACGAAAACCTGAAATTGACGATGACGATAAAGCACTCTCGGATATTCTTGATTTTGTAGTGGAAATGGAAGAGCTGGCCGAGAAAAGACGTTCACTACGGCAACCAGAACAATTTCAGGTGCAACATAATGCACCCGGTACAGTACAGTACTACAGACCACCCATGCAAGATATGAAAAGGTTGGGATCTGGAAAGAAGAAGACCCATCAGTGTGTGAGTTGTGATCTTTGGTTCACCAGTGAAGGTTTCTTGCAGAGGCATTTGAAATCTACCGTCCATAAGAACAGGTCCTATTGTAGAAGGTCTAAGATGGTCTCCCAAGGTAACACTTATGTAATGGGTTACCAGTTTGCACCGTACTAATAATATTTACAATACTATACTATAAAAATAAAACGTACTATTTATATTTGTTTAAAAAACCTGGATCTTTTGTAATATCCTAAAATATTATACAAAAAATATTAAAATACCTACTCTATTGACTGATGACATCAAGTTGACCAACGAATCACCCACATATATATAATATATACTGTAATGATTTTTTTCAAACACGTTGATTTTGTTTGCGAGACATTTTTTGGCTATATTGGCCTGTTTAACCAAAATTTTTATTTGTACACGGAAAAAACTTAATGTCACTATTTAGTAGGATTTCTACTAATTTTTATTGTTACTTTACGAAGTAAAAAGTTAAAATATATAATAGCGGTTCACTAAAACATATTATATTTAAAAATAAATAAATCAGTATTAAAATATAGTTTTTAACCTTTTAAATGATAAAATTCTTCATCTTGGAAAGTATAATTTAAAGTAAGAGTAAGCAAAATGTGACAATGACTTAATTAAATATTAACTCTCAACCTTTAATTTTTAATATTTCAAACACTAAATATCTCCAAGTTCGATATATATAATTTCACATAAGGGGCAAAACACCTCAAGTGTTCCCACCTAAAAATGATGTTTTCTCCGATTTTAACAAAACTTTGCCAAATCATTGTCTATTGGACTACCTTAATTTTCCAAATGGGGAATTAAAAAAGCTTTCTTTTGATATTAATTTTTAAAAAATCAGATGTGTCGCATTACGAGAAAAAAACAAATATATTTTTAAAATCGTTTTTTTTTACAACCAAAAAATTTTTTCTGGCTTTCGAGACCATTTTTATCGTAAAGCGTGGAAAAAATGCTATACGATATGTTGATTATCAATTTAAAAAAAATTATTATATACATGAATATTTCGACGTCTTTTAAGCGCACGAGAAAAAATATAAATCTTTAGGCCCCTGTATCTCTGCAACCCGCTAATCCTTTTTGCTCCCCATTTGGAAAATTAAGGTAGTCCAATAGGACAATGATTTGGCAAAGTTTTGTTAAAATCGGAGAAAACATCATTTTTAGGTGGGAACACTTGAGGTGTTTTGCCCCATAAGCGAACATATTTTTTTTTTTAATTTTAACCATAATAAATATTCAAATCTGAATTTTAATTGTTATTGTTTCAAACAATAAAAATATACAACTCTACCGCTTAAATATTTACTTATAGAAATATAGTAATTAACGTTCAGTTCTGCATTTTTTAAATACTAAAAAATAATTTTGGGTAGACAAGTTAGAAAAATATATATATATATATAATTGTTTATAAGCTATATAAATTCTTTTTAATTTTATTAATGAACGATTTTGATCTATGCAAACATATTTAGGTAAAAAGGTTATAAATAACAACGAATAAAAACATTTTACCTGCCTAAGCAATGTTTTTCCAAATTTATGTAGGTATCAAATTGACAAACTTATATATACCTACAATTGTATATATATATGGGCAGATCCATTACTTTTCGACAAAAGTGTGCGGGGGTAAATCACCGATTTGGCTGCCGATTTTTTTCTCGAAAGTAGGTCATATAAGGAGACGATCCTGAAAATTTGAGCTCGATATAGGTAATTCCGGTTGCAAGAGAATTTTTTGAAATATAAAAAAAGTCGATTTTTTAGTCATTTTCAAAAATTCGTATCTCAGCTCTTATTTAACTTGGAGATTTGATCAAGACGGCATTTTTCTCTGTTATCCCTTTATTTTCAAGAAAAAAATAGGTTTTATGTTTAAACTCAAATCCGGCTAAGCTGTAAGCCTCCAAATAAAACACTGCTTAAGATAAATTTTGCCAATTTTTAAAGTGCTCTCAAATCCACAGTTTTTGAAGCAGTGGAATAAATGACAGATGATATTTTTCGTTAAGGTATACTCTGTTGGAATTTACCCATTTTTTACTTGATTGCTTCGATTTCTCTAATGTATGGCCACTCAAAGACAATTGATTTTTGAAAAATCGCTGTTTTCAGATACCTACAACTTTTTTCTATCGATCCGAAATCCTTTGATAATTTCAGGGATTATACTTTATTCTATCCCCAAACAACCCATCAAAACTTTTCCTTAGGTATTGAAGTGGTTTCCGAGCTATGAATTTTTAAAAATGTCAAATTTTCAATATAATATGACATTTTTGGTAGTTTTATTATCAGTTAAATTCGTAATAAATTAATTGATATCTGTCGGTAAGCATTAAATTAATTATCATTATTATAATGATAATTAATTTAATGCTTACCAACCTATAATAGGCTATAATAGGCTATAATAGGCTGGCTGCACATTATGAACAAGGTCTAATGGATTATTGACTAAAGTATTACTAATAATTCAATTAACTGATAATAAAACTACTAAAAATGTCATATTATATTGAAAATTTGACATTTTTAAAAATTCATAGCTCGGAAACCACTTCAATACCCAAGGAAAAGGTTTGATGGGTTGTTTGGGGATAGAATAAAGTATAATCCCTGAAATTATCAAAGAATTTCGGATCGATAGAAAAAAGTTGTAGGTATCTGAAAAAAGCGATTTTTCAAAAATCAGTTGTTTTTGAGTGGCCATACAGAGAGAAATAGAAGCAATCAAGTAAAAAATGGGTAAATTCAAACAGAGTATACCTCAACGAAAAATATTATCTGCCATTTATCCCACTGCTTCAAAAACTGTAGATTTGAGAGCACTTTAAAAATTGATAAAAATTATCTTAAGCAGTGTTTTATTTGGAGGCTTGCAGCTTGAGTTTAAACTTAAAACCTATTTTTTTCTGGAAAATAAAGGGATAACAGAGAAAAATACCATCTTGATCAAATCTCTAAGTTAATTAGGAGCTGAGATATGAATTTTTGAAAATGACTAAAAAATCGTCTTTTTTTATATTTCAAAAAATTCTCTTGCAGCCGGAATTACCCATATCGAGCTCAAATTTTCAGGATCGTCTCCTTATATGACTTACTTTCGATAAAAATGAACAAGGTCTAATAGATTATTGACTAAAGTATTACATATAATTCATTTAACTGATAATAAAACTACCAAAAATGTCATATTATATTGAAAATTTGACATTTTTAAAAATTCATAGCTCGGAAACCACTTCAATACCCAAAGAAAAGTTTTGATGGTTTGTTTGGGAATAGAATAAAGTATAATCCCTGAAATTTTCAAAGGATTTCGGATCGATAGAAAAAGGTATCTGAAAACATTGATTTTTCAAAAATCAATTGTCTTTGAGTGGCCATACATTAGAGAAATCGAAGCAATCAAGTAAAAAATGGGTAAATTCCAACAGAGTATACCTTAACGAAAAATATCATCTGTCATTTATTCCACTGCTTCAAAAACTGTAGATTTGAGAGCACTTTAAAAATTGGCAAAATTTATCTTAAGCAGTGTTTTATTTGGAGGCGTACAGCTTAGCCGGATTTGAGTTTAAACTTAAAATCTATTTTTTTCTTGAAAAAAGAGGGATAACAGAGAAAAATGCCGTCTTGATCAAATCTCTAAGTTAAATAGGAGCTGAGATACGAATTTTTGAAAATGACTAAAAAATCGACTTTTTTATATTTCAAAAAATTTTCTTGCAGCCGGAATTACCTATATCGAGCTCAAATTTTCAGGATCGTCTCCTTATATGACCTACTTTCAAGAAAAAAATCAGCAGCCAAATCGGTGACTTACCCCCGCACACTTTTGTCGAAAAGTAATGGATCTGCCCATATATATATATATTTTCATAAGCTTCACCAAATCACTTATTCTTAAACAACAATGGAGCTCCATAGCGAAACTTTCTGCGATCTATCTGAACTCTATACGATTAAAGAATCTAATTGCGAATCTAGTAAAAATGAGGGCATCAGTTTTATGGAAGAACTCGAAGAATTCATACAAATACCTTCAAGTTTACTGAACAAGGAGACGAGAAAGAACGTAGAACGAAAACCTGAAATTGACGATGACGATAAAGCACTCTCGGATATTCTTGATTTTGTAGTGGAAATGGAAGAGCTGGCCGAGAAAAGACGTTCACTACGGCAACCAAAACAATTTCAGGTGCAACATAATGCACCCGGTACAGTACAGTACTACAGACCACCCATGCAAGATATGAAAAGGTTGGGATCTGGAAAGAAGAAGACCCATCAGTGTGTGAGTTGTGATCTTTGGTTCACCAGTGAAGGTTTCTTGCAGAGGCATTTGAAATCTACCGTCCATAAGAACAGGTCCTATTGTAGAAGGTCTAAGATGGTCTCCCAAGGTAACACTTATGTAATGGGTTACCAGTTTGCACCATACTAATAATATTTACAATACTATACTATAAAAATAAAACGTACTATTTATATTTGTTTAAAAAACCTGGATCTTTTGTAATATCCTAAAATATTATACAAAAAATATTAAAATACCTACTCTATTGACTGATGACATCAAGTTGACCAACGAATCACCCACATATATATAATATATACTGTAATGATTTTTTTCAAACACGTTGATTTTGTTTGCGAGACATTTTTTGGCTATATTGGCCTGTTTAACCAAAATTTTTATTTGTACACGGAAAAAACTTAATGTCACTATTTAGTAGGATTTCTACTAATTTTTATTGTTACTTTACGAAGTAAAAAGTTAAAATATATATTAGCGGTTCACTAAAACATATTATATTTAAAAATAAATAAAACAGTATTAAAATATGGTTTTTAACCTTTTAAATGATAAAATTCTTCATCTTGGAAAGTATAATTTAAAGTAAGAGTAAGCAAAATGTGACAATGACTTAATTAAATATTAACTCTCAACCTTTAATTTTTAATATTTCAAACACTAAATATCTCCAAGTTCGATATATATAATTTCACATAAGGGGCAAAACACCTCAAGTGTTCCCACCTAAAAATGATGTTTTCTCCGATTTTAACAAAACTTTGCCAAATCATTGTCTTGGACTACCTTAATTTTCCAAATGGGGAATTAAAAAAGCTTTCTTTTGATATTAATTTTTAAAAAATCAGATGTGTCGCATTTCGAGAAAAAAACAAATATATTTTTAAAATCGTTTTTTTTTTACAACCAAAAAATTTTTTCTGGCTTTCGAGACCATTTTTATCGTAAAGCGTGGAAAAAATGCTATACGATATGTTGATTATCAATTTAAAAAAAATTATTATATACATGAATATTTCGACGTCTTTTAAGCGCACGAGAAAAAATATAAAGCTTTAGGCCCCTGTATCTCTGCAACCCGCTAATCCTTTTTGCTCCCCATTTGGAAAATTAAGGTAGTCCAATAGGACAATGATTTGGCAAAGTTTTGTTAAAATCGGAGAAAACATCATTTTTAGGTGGGAACACTTGAGGTGTTTTGCCCCATAAGCGAACATATTTTTTTTTTAATTTTAACCATAATAAATATTCAAATCTGAATTTTAATTGTTATTGTTTCAAACAATAAAAATATACAACTCTACCGCTTAAATATTTACTTATAGAAATATAGTAATTAACGTTCAGTTCTGCATTTTTTAAATACTAAAAAATAATTTTGGGTAGACAAGTTAGAAAAATATATATATATAATTGTTTATAAGCTATATAAATTCTTTTTAATTTTATTAATGAACGATTTTGATCTATGCAAACATATTTAGGTAAAAAGGTTATAAATAACAACGAATAATAATAAAAACATTTTACCTGCCTAAGCAATGTTTTTCCAAATTTATGTAGGTATCAAATTGACAAACTTATATATACCTACAATTGTATATATATATATATTTTCATAAGCTTCACCAAATCACTTATTCTTAAACAACAATGGAGCTCCATAGCGAAACTTTCTGCGATCTATCTGAACTCTATACGATTAAAGAATCTAATTGCGAATCTAGTAAAAATGAGGGCATCAGTTTTATGGAAGAACTCGAAGAATTCATACAAATACCTTCAAGTTTACTGAACAAGGAGACGAGAAAGAACGTAGAACGAAAACCTGAAATTGACGATGACGATAAAGCACTCTCGGATATTCTTGATTTTGTAGTGGAAATGGAAGAGCTGGCCGAGAAAAGACGTTCACTACGGCAACCAGAACAATTTCAGGTGCAACATAATGCACCCGGTACAGTACAGTACTACAGACCACCCATGCAAGATATGAAAAGGTTGGGATCTGGAAAGAAGAAGACCCATCAGTGTGTGAGTTGTGATCTTTGGTTCACCAGTGAAGGTTTCTTGCAGAGGCATTTGAAATCTACCGTCCATAAGAACAGGTCCTATTGTAGAAGGTCTAAGATGGTCTCCCAAGGTAACACTTTTGTAATGGGTTACCAGTTTGCACCATACTAATAATATTTACAATACTATACTATAAAAATAAAACGTACTATTTATATTTGTTTAAAAAACCTGGATCTTTTGTAATATCCTAAAATATTATACAAAAAATATTAAAATACCCATAGGTATACTCTATTGACTGATGACATCAAGTTGACCAACGAATCACCCACATATATATAATATATACTGTAATGATTTTTTTCAAACACGTTGATTTTGTTTGCGAGACATTTTTTGGCTATATTGGCCTGTTTAACCAAAATTTTTATTTGTACACGGAAAAAACTTAATGTCACTATTTAGTAGGATTTCTACTAATTTTTATTGTTACTTTACGAAGTAAAAAGTTAAAATATATATTAGCGGTTCACTAAAACATATTATATTTAAAAATAAATAAAACAGTATTAAAATATGGTTTTTAACCTTTTAAATGATAAAATTCTTCATCTTGGAAAGTATAATTTAAAGTAAGAGTAAGCAAAATGTGACAATGACTTAATTAAATATTAACTCTCAACCTTTAATTTTTAATATTTCAAACACTAAATATCTCCAAGTTCGATATATATAATTTCACATAAGGGGCAAAACACCTCAAGTGTTCCCACCTAAAAATGATGTTTTCTCCGATTTTAACAAAACTTTGCCAAATCATTGTCTATTGGACTACCTTAATTTTCCAAATGGGGAATTAAAAAAGCTTTCTTTTGATATTAATTTTTAAAAAATCAGATGTGTCGCATTTCGAGAAAAAAACAAATATATTTTTAAAATCGTTTTTTTTATAACCAAAAAATTATTTCTGGCTTTCGAGACCATTTTTATCGTAAAGCGTGGAAAAAATGCTATACGATATGTTGATTATCAATTTAAAAAAAATTATTATTATATACCCTCAAGTGTTCCTACCTAAAAATGATGTCTTCTCCGATTTTAACAAAACTTTGCCAAATCATTGTCTATTGGACTACCTTAATTTTCCAAATGGGGAATTAAAAAAGCTTTCTTTTGATATTAATTTTTAAAAAATCAGATGTTTCGCATTTCGAGAAAAAAACAAATATATTTTTAAAATCGTTTTTTTTATAACCAAAAATTTTTTTCTGGCTTTCGAGACCATTTTTATCGTAAAGCGTGGAAAAAATGCTATACGATATGTTGATTATCAATTTAAAAAAAATTATTATATACATGAATATTTCGACGTCTTTTAAGCGCACGAGAAAAAATATAAATTTTTTCGGCCCCTGTATCTCTGCAACCCGCTAATCCTTTTTGCCCCCCATTTGGAAAATTAAGGTAATCCAATAGGACAATGATTTTTCAAAGTTTTGTTAAAATCGGAGAAAACATCATTTTTAGGTGGGAACACTTTAGGTGTTTTGCCCCATAAGCGAACATATTTTTTTTTTAATTTTAACCATAATAAATATTCAAATCTGAATTTTAATTTTTATTGTTTCAAAGAATAAAAATAAACAACTCTACCGGTTAAATATTTACTTATAGAAATATAGTAATTAACGTTCAGTTCTGCATTTTTTAAATACTAAAAAATAATTTTGTGTATTTTATTTATTATAGAATTTACTATTATAAATTTTAATAATTTAATTAATAAACTTTGTTAAGTATGATCAATAAATAATGCACTTTTTATAAATAGTAATTTTTATTTAAGAATTTTTTAAACACTTTTTACCAATAGTTAATAACATAATAATTTCCATTAATAATTGTTTATAAATATTTACCAATAAATATAATTCATTAAAATACAATAATTAATAAATAATTCATTACAATAAATGAGGAGCATACTTTCATAAGGAATCTTGTCTTGGACACGTCAATTTTTATTTCTAGGGGGACGAATTTTGATGTACATTTCTTCATTGAGGTTGCCATCAATGAAAAATGTTCCAACATGGTTCCCAAAAATTCCGGCCGAAACATTAAATTGTATCTTTTGGAGAACTTGGACGTGGGTTTCATGGAACAAATGTGGATTGGTACCGCCCCAATAGCGCCAATTATAATTATGTCTATTTACTTCTCCATTTAACATAACAGAGCACTCATCTGAAAAACATGTATTGTAGTACAAAAGGATTAATACTGAAATATTCGCAAAACTGTAATCTGCGATCAGGCCCTGATTATCAAGATCATCTTCATTAATTTCTTGAACCAGCCGAATTTTAAAGGATGAAACTTGTTATTTTTCAAGATGCGAAGCACACTGGTGACGGATACGCCAAAGGCTTGTGATAGTTTCCTGATAGACTGTGCACTCTTAGAAAAGACCTGGTATTTGCAATGAAAATTTAGTTCCCAGAACCAATTTTATTAGTAAAAATAGGCACAACAAAAAAATATGTTGTGGGAACTAATACAAATTTGTTTTTACAGTTTGTTGTCGGAACAGCCAATATTGGTAGCTCCAACCAACAAGTTTAAGTGCATCTAAATTAGTTTTTTTTTCATACAAATAATTGATATTTAATGCAATCACATTAGTCTGTCATTTTAGCAGCGTCTAAGTTGTAACAACTGCACTTGCTATTTATCGCAACAAACATTGTATCATGCAGGAATTTATTTTTTAATTGAAATTACATGAAAAAAGGTACATTTAAAGAATTTAATAGTTGATATAATATAAATTTGTTTTGTACTGTAACTAAGTTATATTTAATATTAAATGCTTGCATTAGTACACTCTTAGAAAAGACCTGGTATTTGCAATGAAAATTTAGTTCCCATAACCAATTTTATTAGTGAAAATAGGCACAACAAAAAAATATGTTGTGGGAACTAATACAAATTTGTTTTTACAGTTTGTTGTCGGAACAGCCAATATTGGTAGCTCCAACCAACAAGTTTAAGTGCATCGAAATTAGTTTTTTTTTCATACAAATAATTGATATTTAATGCAATCACATTAGTCTGTCATTTTAGCAGCGTCTAAGTTGTAACAACTGCACTTGCTATTTATCGCAACAAACATTGTATCATGCAGGAATTTATTTTTTAATTGAAATTACATGAAAAAAGGTACATTTAAAGAATTTAATAGTTGATATAATATAAATTTGTTTTGTACTGTAACTAAGTTATATTTAATAATAAATGCTTGCATTAGTAGCAACAACAAATTGGTATTATTCCACAGTACATACCTGCTTAGTAAATATAACACTTTTTGTGTAAATATTATAAAAAATAGAGAAAGGAAATTCATGCCCGTTCGTTTTATAAATATTTATTATAAATTAAAAAATAACAATATAACTGAAAACACCAAATTTTGGTTTAAACATTATAACAAAAATTAATAATTACTCTAAGAAAACATTTATAAATATTTTAACAATAAAACAAAAACGATTCTTTGGTAAATATACACAGATAGGTACATTAAGATGAAAGTTGACTATACTTCTTCAGTAAACCGTGATGTTTACGTGAAGTGCAAGCCTTTGTTTAACAACTTAACAATGATTCTTAGGTACAACGTAACATACTTGCATGATAACAGGGGTAAGCATTCGATAAATTTTGAGTGTGAGTGCCTATAGTATAGGCCCTATACCAAAAATGCGACTTGAGCTGTAACAAAACAAAACAAAAAAATTCTCGAAATTCCGACGTGATAGAGACTTTTGGTGGGCACCATTGGATTCAGGAGGCCATTTTCAGTCGGAATGTCATTTTCACATTTTTTGATTTTTTTTCGGACCCCAAAACTACAATTAATTAAAGGAGTGCAATAATAATACCTAACCTTTAAAAACTGCAACCAATTCAGGTAAACCCCATGTTCCTAATAAATATGCTACTTCAGTCCGCTCATCCATATTATTTGTTCGAGATATCTATAAGTAACCAACATATAAGAATATATTCTTATATATATGAATAGTTAAAAAGTATGTCGCCACTGAATTTACCTAAAATATACACTACACACGAGCTGATACAGAAATACAAAAGAACAAACACCACCGAAGTAAAGCACGCGCCGGGCTGGACAAATCGCGCGCGAAATGCACAAAGTTTGCAGTTGCATTAACCTACAGAGACAACATCCCCAATTGACACTTTGTTTCACACCGCTGGTGTCTTAGCTGTGTGAAAAGTGACGCATAGTTTATACAACCGAACCGTTAGTTCCACGGACTAATTTCAATTAGTTGAGAATGTTACTTAAATATTTGGCCCAACAAAAACATTTTATTGCCGAAATGATTTTTTTGAGATAATGTTGTCAATACTTCTAGCCAACACAAAGTTTCAGTTAAAATAACTTAATCGCCTTTTTGCAGTAAATAATACTCAACAACAAAACTAAATCTTTTCAGGTAATGATGCAAGCAGTTACACATATAAAGGTACTGATTACAAAAAACTAAAAATTTTATTTTCTGCAACAGTTTTACCCCAACGATAATAAGTTAGTTACAAATACCAGGTCTTTTCTAAGAGTGTAGCAACAACAAATTGATATTATTCCACAGTACATACCTGCTTAGTAAATATAACACTTTTTGTGTAAATATTATAAAAAATAGAGAAAGGAAATTCATGCCCGTTCGTTTTATAAATATTTATTATAAATTAAAAAATAACAATATAACTGAAAACACCAAATTTTGGTTTAAACATTATAACAAAAATTAATAATTACTCTAAGAAAACATTTATAAATATTTTAACAATAAAACAAAAAGGATTCTTTGGTAAATATAAACAGATAGGTACACTAAGATGAAAGTTGACTATACTTCTTCAGTAAACCGTGATGTTTACGTGAAGTGCAAGCCTTTGTTTAACAACTTAACAATGATTCTTAGGTACAACGTAACATACTTGCATGATAACAGGGGTAAGCATTCGATAAATTTTGAGTGTGAGTGCCTATAGTATAGGCCCTATACCAAAAAAGCGACTTGAGCTGTA